ATGACCAAGCCACAAATTAGCCGGTTGAGTTTTTAAGTTCGCTTAATGCAAATGGCCTTTCTGCATATAAATCCCGCGCAATGCCGGGGTAAAATTGTGCAATGTCGGATTCCATTTTCAACTTCATATAAACGTATCTTCTCTAAAAAGGCACATAATTTAAGCTGAGATCGTCACTATTTCGAGAATACAACCCGCTTGATCACTAGCAGCAGTTGTCAAGGCATTGCCTTCGGCGTGGGTTCGATTCTCATACGGGACAATTATTTTTGTGACCCATAGTAATTGTTTCCCAGAAGGCAAAACTATGAATGTGGTATTAAAAGTGATATTTTATTGTACATTAGCTTTTCGCCTGCGGTTCGGCCGTATGTACCACATTTTATATCGTGCTTAAAAAGTAGCCTTCCTCAATAAATTGGCTGTCTAACAGTTGCTGAGATTAGTATGTTCATAGAAGACAGATGCTAGCTAGACTGCTATCGTCTCCTCGGCTGTTGCACGAACGGGCAGGCTCATCCGGGTAAGTACCACGACCTCACAGAAGACCAGCGTCAAGTGGAATGACAAATACTTTCGCGTTTCGTCTGGTGAGTGAGGTAGCCGGAGCCCAATATTCAAAAGGTCAACGCATCTGTACGCCTCGGGTGTGGCAGATATCCATGGGCGGCGGTATTCACTTAAGGTATGTTTGCGGAATCTGCAAAAATAAGGGGTTTTCAGGTACATTTTGCGGCAAAACGAAACGAATATAATGTAAGTAATAATTATCACATATAGATCCCTCCTTGATCTTCAGATGGTAGATAGTTTTTAATCGAAAATTTTGGTTTATAATATTGTAAATGAGAATTTTCGTTGCCACTTCGTTCAAAATGGACGATATCCTGTTGGGTTTAGGAACATTTTTCTCTTATGTAATAACATATTTTTTTTATTTAAAAATATTTTATGTAAGCACACATGTTCAACTCAAAAAGGTAGCTACATTACGTATCAAAATTTTTGAAATTAGTTTCAGAAAAAAATAAGATTAAAGTCTATTTCTTTCACATTTATATCTTACGCGTGAATCTTAAGTGATTGACATAAAGGTTATTTTACTGGTCACTTTTTTGATTTATTCCACAAAAATATTTAAAGAAATATTAGTCGGCGCTCGGCTGCCGTCATGAGTGGTCACTGTGTCGCTTATAAACAGCAGCTCGTGAAAGATCGCTGTACGAATACAAAATATTTGTCGTAACAAAGTTGATACTTTACACATCATGTTCGGACTTCGGACTACGAACGACAAAAGTAAAATTTAATTCACACTTTGTCATATTTTTACTAGAAATTAGTAGGGGTTCATATTTCGTTACGGACTTGATGGAGTGACCTGAAGGTGTACTTCGAGAACTGCTACTGGAACTAACAGACGAGATGAGCTATGTGTGTCGAGTTTGGGCTTGTTTTGTTAGGTATGGTGAGACCTTGCCTTCTGACTAGATGGAGTGACCTGAAGGTGTACTTCGAGAACTGCTACTGGAACTAACAGACGAGATGAGCTATGTGTGTCGAGTTTGGGCTTGTTTTGTGAGGTATGGTGAGACCTTGCCTTCTGACTAGATGGAGTGACCTGAAGGTGTGCTTCGAGAACTGCTACTGGAACTAACAGACGAGTTGAGCTATGTATGTCGAGTTTGGGCTTGTTTTGTTAGGTATGGTGAGACCTTGCCTTCTGACTAGATGGAGTGACCTGAAGGTGTACTTCGAGAACTGCTACTGGAACTAACAGACGAGATGAGCTAGCTGTGTGTCGAGTTTGGGCTTGTTTTGTTAGGTATGGTGAGACCTTGCCTTCTGACTAGATGGAGTGACCTGAAGGTGTACTTCGAGAACTGCTACTGGAACTAACAGACGAGATGAGCTAGCTATGTGTGTCGAGTTTGGGCTTGTTTTGTTAGGTATGGTGAGACCTTGCCTTCTGACTAGATGGAGTGGGGACCTGAAGGTGTACTTCGACCTGAAGGTGTACTTCGAGAACTGCTACTGGAACTAACAGACGAGATGCGCTATGTGTGTCGAGTTTGGGCTTGTTTTGTTAGGTATGGTGAGACCTTGCCTTCTGACTTGATGGAGTGACCTGAAAGTGTAATTCGAGAACTGCTACTGGAACTAAGAGACGAGATGAGCTATGTGTGTCGAGTTTGGGCTTGTTTTCTTAGGTATGGTGAGACCTTGCCTTCTGACGTGATGGAGTGACCTGAAGGTGTACTTCGAGAATTCCTACTGGAACTAACAGACGAGTTGAGCTATGTGTGTCAAGTTTGGTCTTGTTTTGTGAATTTTTTTGAGACCTTACCTTTGAAATTGATGTATTGACATGAAGGTGTAAGAATACATTAAAAAAGTTATTTAAAATATGGAACTGTGTATTCTACATCAATTCTGTGTATAAATATTTGTGAAACATGTTAATATAAAAAAATTGAAATTAAGATTATAATTATGAGTCAATAGAGTATAAATATAAGTCAAAGTAAATCACAAGTCAAAGTAATGAATTTTTAAAATAAACATTCTAGATTACTTAGACATGATTTAATATTTTAAATGTCTAATTTGACAGTGTACAGATTTGATGTAGATAGTCTTGAATACTTTAAAATTTTCGTTTAAATTTAAATACTCCGGGAGGCCTAATAAATTCTTATTTCCATGCAGCCAAATGTTGGCTAAAAGTGCACGACATGTAGAAAAGTTGTATGGATAATTAAAAATACAAGTAATACAAAACAAATTTGCACACTTGCAAATTGTAAGATTAGGGATGTCTAAAAGGTCATTTTTTTGTATATTTCAATGAATAGGTGTAATAAACATGTACTTCAAAAGTTTCGAACGACAGCTATGTGGCAAACTTTTTGTTTCAAGTTTATGACCCCATTTATCGTTTATTGTTTTGTCGTTCGCACTGACCAACTTTTATGATCATGGATTCTGCCTAAAATAATACTTAATTTTTTAAATGACTTGCAATCTTTTGGAACAAATGGTATCTATAGTAAGAACGTCTTTAAAATAGGCAAAACACGAAAAAAAAAAATAGTTATGTAAAAATGTAGTGGGTCTCAACTTAAATCATCAAAGACTTATTTTTATGGCACAGTTATCACATACAACATTTATACCTCTTATAACTCAATTGTTGTTTCAGATGCCAAAGCCTAAAACGATAAAATTTTAGCAGGCTACTACTTCGATATCATCATCATCATCATCATATCAGCCGTAGGACGTCCACTGCTGAACATAGGCCTCCCCCATTGACTTCCACTTCGACCGGTCGTTAGCGGCCTGCATCCAACTTCGATATAGATAACAAAAATAATTAAATGATAGAGAACTATAAAGAAAAATCACAAAGATCCGACACAGAGCACCCCGACTCCGTATGGTCTTCCCTATCCCTAGAGTGAACATAAAATGGCGGAGCCAGAACCTCGTGTCGGAGGTATAAATTGACCTCGCGGGCTTGCTCCACCCAGGATCGACATAGCGACAGTTCTGGCGAAGAGCATGGAAGAGTCAAATTAAAAAAACGAAACAATATTTTTTTAAGCTATTGCACAGCTTTTATCGCGGGCTTTGAGCGCGGCGACGGAATCAATAAATTCCGTAACGAAAATAAAAAACCTAACACCACCCACTCCGCCTACCACGCAAGAGGAAAGATTTGATTGTTTGTATGCATTGAATAGGCTCCTAAACCACTGAACAGATTTGAAAATTTCTTTCACTGTCTGGAAGCTACATTATCCCCGGATGACATAGGATATATTATATTTTCAAAAAAACTTGGAATCCTTACTAAAACTTGAATAATGTAACCCTAAGTGTACAAAAATTACCTAAAATATTGTTTGCATCGCGTGCGCTGCTAAAACTTTTGATAATAGAATAAAATAATGTACTACGAATTTGCAGAACACATCATTATTTATAAAGTGTTGCGACAGTATATTCTATTATAGTTATGCCACAATAAGTATTCTTTTACTTTAAAATTTTGATTGAAATGCCGGCGCTAGAAAAGGCTCTTTATTTGTATCTTGGTATTAATCGTTATAAAAATAAATTACTTTATATTTAAGAATGTTTCAATATCTTTATATAACTTTTTGAATGATTAAATTCGGACATTCCATTCGAAAGATATCACAAGTTTAAAAATGTTAGTATATTGTAATTTAACTATCCAGAGCTTAATGACTGACTTAGTAGTTCTTATCATTTTTGTAAATAATATAAATAAATTATATATTATTAGTTATAATATATATTAATATAATATTTATTAACATAAATAATAATATTTTAATAATATCAAAGAAAAAAATACTGCATAAATAAATAATTATAATCGCATAAGTTGATAAAAGATGCTATGCTATAGCTTTACCCCGACAGAGCCGAGTGCGACAGGTTTTTTTTATAAAAATGTTTTTTTTAATTTTTACTAGTTTGTTTCCTTCGTTTTATTATTCCATTTTTAGTTTCCAGATACTACGCCGGCTTCGTACGCCGTGCTATTTCCATTTCATTTACAGAAAATTATTTTTTTTAACATTTAGCATGAATATTATTGAATCAGCAAAATGCATTCAGAATACCATACAAAGTATTTTACTCAATTCGTTAGCGGGTTTTACCTAATTATCTGCCTACATAGCTACATAGCTATTACCTACCTATCAAGCTATCTACCTACCGCACGCATAATCAAACATGTATAAAACAAGCTTCTTTTTCTTCATAAAAAATAATTAAAAACATAAAATTAAATTATATACATAATTAATTAAAACGCAAATTATCAACAGCTACGAACTTTTTAATGAAATTAAATAAAATTATATCTAGATATATAAAAAATATTCAGTTTAAAAACTTGTTGAAAACAAATTTAACGTAATTTTAAAAAATAAATGACTTCAAATTAAATAAAAGTATCAAGTTGCGTCAGTTACATAAAGCTTCGCCGCTTCGCGCTTGTCGCAGTGTGCGTGAGCCGTGCACGTGTAGTAGTACACCTCTGTACCTAAAATTGAAGCGCGTGAATTCGTAAACGCGTCCTTAACATCAGGTAACCCGTCTGCTCGTTTGGCAACTTTTCGCATAAAAAAAAAATTATAGTTAACTATAGTTTCATCCAATTCAGCTGTAGCGTTAAAAGATTACTTTTTTTAAGTTGATAAATTTTTTATTTATGAACCGATTTGAATAAAACTAAATCTTAAGTGATGTACTACAATGCATCAGTGAAAGTTGTACCCAAATCGGTTAAGCCTGTTTCCGAGATTATGGCGCACAAACGCACATACACGCAGAACAATTTTAACAACCATTGCTTTGTGGTCTATCGCGTTGATAAAGGGGGATCTTTAATAATAGTTTTACTCAAATGTCTTCCATGTACAGACAACGACAAGTTACTTTTTTATCATATGTGTAGATATCTGTCTCTTCCCCCTATTCTATGTGGACATAGTCACAGGCAACAGCTAGTACAAAAATAGTTTGACTAAATATATGTAAGCTTTGATTTTGGCACTGAAGGTTTGTTTTATTACGTAATGTTACTAAATAAATACAATCTTTCAATTATGCAAGATTTAATTAAGCTTTGACAGCATACACACGAGGTGGGAATAGAGATTTCTTTCTTATCTCTTTGCGTGTTTTAATTTTTGCTTCATGTTTAGTTAAAGCCTTACGCATTGCACGGGTCTTCTTAGGTCTTAGATCCAAAGGCTTGTATTTCTTATTTTTGTAATGATTGCGAAGATTTACCTTCATCTTCTGGTGGTAAACAATATAGACTCTGGCAATTGCTTTTCTTACCACTCGTCTGAAAATAAAAAGCAAAAACTCTGTTTATGTGATTGTAACAGTATCACAAAAAATACTTGTTATTGAAGACTACATATACACATAATTAAAAAGGTGATAGGAATAATTGACTATGAATAACACATTAAAGACCCTTTTTTATTGTGACTCTTTCGATTGGTTTTTATGTACTTATTTTTAATAATATGCATAAGAAAGTACAGGTAAAATAAAACACCATATCAACAGTTTCGCACGGGTGCAATGACAATGTATTATACATATAAACCTTCGTCTTGAAGCACTGTATCTATTAAATAACCGCATCAAGATCCGTTGCGTTATTTAAAAAATATTTGCATACATAGGGACACAGACAGCGGGACGACTTTATTTTATTTTATATAGTGATAAAACTTACATTTTCGAGAGTTTGGACGCAACGCCTCCAGTAACTTTAGCAACCCTAAGATTGGTTAACTCAGTTTTCAGCTCTTCAAGCTGTTTGAAGAGTTCCTTTTTATCTTTCGTGCGTAGCTCTGAGCATTTGACTTTACCCTGACATGAAAGAGTAGCATTAGGTACAACAAAAACAAGATGAAGAGACAAAAATCAAATCCAGCCTATGAAAATTTAACCAAAATAAGTGAAAAAAGCACGATAAATATCGCAAAACCCAGTAAATAGCAGGTTATTTTCTTAATAGATTTATAAGAGTTTTATTTTATATATGTACAAAATATATTGAAAAACCTTATAAGCATGGTTTGAAATATTGTCAATTATGTGGAAATCACTTATTAAATATTTGATGAGACAAATATTGAGGGATAAATATAAATTACCAGCGTACCATTTTGTTAAATACACCTCTTGTCACCAATGTTTTGACATAAAGAAATTGTAAATCGAACAGATCTAATTTAGTGATGCGGAATTGTCAAGAGATCAGGTCATTGTCAAAAGGTTAGGGATGCCGAAAAAATATCGAAAAATCGATTTTCTTTAAAACATTGATATGTATTTAGCAGATATATCGATATAAAAAATTAAATATTGAAATCGTATCAAAAACGATATTTTTATTCAAATTTAATTTAGCTGAATATTAGCAGACTCAAAGCTGTAAAAGATAAAAATTAGCAAAAAAAATCTGTTGTCTATGATCTATTATCGCAGATGCCGTGTTGGATTTTGTACTTTATATATCTACAATTTCATGCTTCGTACACTATCCATATCTAAGGTACAACATGGTATAGAGGTGTTACAAATCATTAATGTTGAACTACATGTAAAGCTAATTTATAAATAGAATGCATAAAATTAATGGTATCAACAAAATCCATACTTAATATTATAAAGGCGAAAGTTTGTATGTATGGATGGATGTTTGTTACTCTTTCACGGAAATACTACTGAATGGATTGTAATGAAACTTTCAACATCAAAAATATATTTATTCAAATAGACGCTTGCGCGCGCTTATGAATCATCAAATTTTACATCAAAGATTATGTATATAGGTTCGTAAGGTACCACCTTTACCACCCTTACCACCTACTTTACAGTAATATAGCTTATACTATTATATAATAAAATAATATAAACAAATGTTTTATGTATACCTGTCTATCTGTCTGAATGTTCCGCCTTCAGCCCATTCTACGCAGACGTAGTCGCGGGCAGCGGCTAGTACTCAATAATTAAATGACACATTTATAATAATATAATATCAAGTTTTCATAAAAAAATATTTTACGTCATACAAAACCATCACTTTTTAAATTATCGTTCAGCATTTTCATTTCAATCAAACAACTATTACTAAATTCTGCTGATCTAGGCCTATCTTCTTTGATAAGTCTGTGCGGGTTCTTTTTGACCCGTTATTAACTTCATACTAAACAATTCTTTATGTTTTACAAAGTTATATATATTTTTTATTCGTTACTTTTTTATTCGTAACTAAATAAGCTGTTTGTTTTTTCAGTTTTTGGTAAATTAGAAATTCAGATTAATAAAAGAAATTTTATTATAATTAATAAATAATTATTTATGTTGATTAAAATTTCGTATTTATTAGAAAAATGTGAATGTGGTATAAAAATTACTATTACTTATTATTGAATCAGACTCAACTTAGTACATTATTTTTTTAAATCGAAAATTTGACCGATATATCGATATTTTTTTTTCGATACATCGAGGCCAACATTGATATTTTTATAAATTTCGATACATTTGTTGACTTTCGGTATCCGTAGACCAGGTATGTATATAGTAAATACTCCATTGACAGTCCGGTCGTCCTTGACTCTAAGCTTAAATTCAGCCAGATGATGACTCGGGTCGTCAAGAACCGGGCGGCCTTCGTACTCGGTCGCCTCTATCCGTTACTAAATAAGACAAAAATGTCCCTACGGAACAATGTGACTTTAGATTAGGCCCCTATAATAGTAGTATTCCCGCATATTGCTTCGAAGCAAATATACTGGCTTCAGGTCGTTCAGAATCGATTTTCAAGCAGAATTACTCAATCGAAATAGCTCAATTCCAAAACTCGACGTCGCGCTTGTACTTTGAATCTGTTACAAGCCCCCACCGCTAGGTACGTTCCGCCGCAGGTGTCTACGCCACGACACGTCCTCAACTACACTGACGATGAGACGACAATCGCCATCGACAGGATTAAAAAGTTCGTACACACCATAATACACCGCACTCGCGAGTGCGGTAAACATATATAAGGTTCCGCTACGTACCTGGCAGGTGTTCCCCAGTTAATGATAGAAGCGTTGATGGAGTTTCATCCACCACTTCTCCTAGCGCTAACGCTTCCCGAATTGGTAGTAATAATAGATCTAGAAATTCTTCCAGTCAGATAATAGCAACCGATCGAGCCGAAGTTCAGCCCGCTCGGGCACCCTCGAATCGGAATGCTAAACAGGTATTGAATGACAGCCCAGGCGGAGGTTCAATCTCGGGGGCCCTTGAGCCTAGTCACTCTGTGGAGCGTCAAAGCGCCCTAAGAGCTGTGTGGCCTAAACCTGTATTGATAATAATGGCGTGACGGCCCGAGCCAAAGCTCCCTTTTTTTTCTGTGAAAAGTTGACAAGCGAACAGGCGGTTCACCTGATGTTAAGTGAATACCGCCGCACATGGACATCTGCTACACCCGAAGCTTACAGATGCCTTGACAACCTTTTGAAAATTTGGCTCTGGCTACCTCACTCGCCAGACGAAATGCGAAATTATTTCTCATACTTCCACTTTACGCCGGACTTCTGTGAGGTCGTGGTACTTACCCGGAGGAGCCTGCCCATTCGTGTAACAGCCGAAGCTGCTGCGTATCTCGGGAGCCCTCGAGTTTAGTCACCATAACGCGTAACCGAGGGTCAGGCTAGGCACTCCGATCCGCCCGGCCACCTCAAGTCCAGCGGATATGTCTCCCTAAGGCCCCTAAGGCCAACAATGGCATATCCTGCACAAAAAAAACACCATAGTAGTCTTAGTACTGATCAACATAAACTAAGACAGTTTATTAATTTGTAGTAGTAACCAGATAGAAATATTTAAATATTGATTTAAATATAATCTAGAATTTAGAATCGTAAGGGGCTTAAGTTGTAAAAAAGCAAAAAGCGTCCCATGGTAGTCATGAATTGGACCGATATCGAACTGAATGACGCCAACTGTTTCAGGATGCGCCTGAAGGAGGAACATATAGGATAACTAATGGGGACATTTCACCGTCACACATTACTGTGTGCCCTGTGACAGTAGGAGACAAAAATCGGAGAAAGTCTCCTAATTGCCTTCTCTAACTCTATCCAATGGTAGAAAATCGTTATAAGGGGACCAAAGGACTGAATACATCATCGGGAGTTATATTTTAAAAAAAGTAGGGATTCCTGTTTAACAGTTAGCAAATAAATAAGTAAAAAGGCAGTTTAATTTTTTTTATCATTTTCATCAAAATCTTATCTTTTTTAGGAATAGTTCCCAGGTGAGGGCATCAAAACTACGTCGTAATGAATGGAATCTTTACTGGAAAGTGTAAATCGTCAGAGAGAGTCTAGTAGAGCGGCTTATACAAATTCACACTAGGGAATCGAGCTCTGAGCGTTCCCAACGCCTACGAGATTTTAACTAATCTCGTCGTCGACAACAAACGAAGTCTAGTCGTCGACAACAAACGTCAAAGACTAGAGTTCGTTGTTGAGTTTTAGCTCACAGTAACAGATCAGCTTTCATGCATTATGCTCAACAGTCTTCCGTCCAAATCGGAGTCACGATATGATCTGCCCTAAGTGTTCTGCCAAAAAATGGGTCGATGAACCAAATGATATGTGCTGTGCCTCTGGAAAAGTTAGTCGCCCCATAGCCAATAAAAAATCTTTTGACAAATAATCATTCACCATCTGGACATTATTTTTTTTAACCAACATTCGAAAGTGCCTCAAAGCCTCTTTCAAATGACTTCGTTTGACGCGAACTTTTAAAATAGAGAGACAAGTATACAAGTTATCATCATCCTCCTGCCCCTATCTCACCAAGGTGAGGTCGGCACGACGTGATTCATGTTGTAAGTGGTTTTGGCTACATTTTTTACAACCAGCCGCCTGCCTGACGTCAACCCTCCTTGGGAAACAAATACCTAGATCAAATTTCAACTTGGTAACTATCACGGTTCATGAGATACAGCCTGTTGACAAAGGGCCAAACAGACAGCGGAGTCTTAGTAATAGGTTCCCGTTTTAAACTTTGGTTACGGAACCCTAAAAAGGCCCCAGAGTGTGTTGTGCGGTAGACACGTCCAACTTAAAAGGGTCTCTGAGTTACACCGATTGTATGATTCGCTAAAATATCCCTTAATAGTCGTAATAGGAGAAGACGGTTAATATTTCACTATTACTCAGCAAGGTACTGTGCGTAACAAAACTGTACCCTATTACTAAGACTCCGCTGTCTGTCTGTATGTCCGTATATCTATCCATATGTCACCAGACTGTATCTCATGAACCGTGATAGTTAGACAGTTGAAACTTTCACAAACGATGTATTTCTGTTGCCGCTATAACAACAAATACTAAAAAAGTATAAATACGTGGGGCTAGGAGTCCCACATGGGACATGATTTTTTTGCCGTTTTTATAGATAATGTTGACGAGGCGGCGCTAGGTCCGCGTACTCGCGAGCGATATCGACAATACCTATCGAGTCTGGAACGGGCCTCTGCCGTACATACCCGGTCTGCATACTGGTACGTTCATACTGGGTATTTATACCTGTTCCAGTGTGTACACCTCATCTTTACTGCTGTTCTTTTGTCAATGTCAATCACAGACAGCAATGCTGTCAATCCAAATAACTTGCATGCATTGCAATTATTATCACTCAGACTCAATTCTGATCAAAGAAAGAGTACTTTTAAATATCTGAAACTGGACTTCATTCAGTGTTTATTGGTATTTATTATTAAACTGTTAAGTGTATAATAAAATATATAATGTGGTAATTTTGTCGTTGTACAGGTGTATAACAATGTTTCGTGTCACTTTGTAATGAATCAGTAATTTATTTTTTCTTCCGAACTGGAATAAGTCGAATGAAATGATGGATGATAGCACACAAATTAATTATGACTTATCATTGAAATATTGGGCAAATGTGCCTCCAACTGTTGATGGGGTCCTTGGTGGATTTGGATATATTTCTAAAGTAGATATTGAAGGATCTAAATTATTTTTAAAATCTATCTTTACCATTAATAATAGTCCCCAGCCTAATCTTGCACTTGACTGTGGTGCTGGAATTGGCAGAATAACAAAACATTTATTATTGCCAAGTTTTAGAAAAGTTGATGTCATTGAACCTAATGAAAAATTTATGAAAACGATTTTGGATTTTGTGGGAAAAAGTAAGGAAAAAATTGAAACACTGTATAAAGTGTCCTTGCAAGAATTTTCGCCTGAAAAAAAATATGATATTATATGGAACCAATGGGTTTTGGGATATCTAACCAATGAAGATCTTGTTTCATATCTTAAACGCTGCAGGTATTGTCAATTGCAAAGTATATTTTATTACAAAACTGTTTGAGTGTTATTTCATTTTTAATAATTTGTTCCAGTGATGCTCTTTCTGCAAATGGAGTAATTATTGTGAAAGAAAATGTAACTTCATCTGGTACTACAGAAACTGATGATACAGATTCATCTGTAACAAGATCATTGAAAGAATATATAAGAATTTTTAAATCTGCTAATTTAAAAAGAATTAAACAGTGTAAACAAACTAATTTTCCTAATGGTATATACCCTGTTTATATGTTTGCCCTTGTGCCAACTATAAGAATGCAGGAAAAGTCCAGTCCAATGACATTAAGAAGCACATACACCAAAATTGATATTAAAAAATGATATCTTATTAATATATTTCATATTAATGAAAAGTTTGTATTATTTAACTGAGCGCATTGCACATTCAGTTGCTTTTATTGGTCAAACAAGACTTTCTTCTGCTTTCGACTATGTCTGCAAAGAATAGGCTGAAGGCGTAACATTCAGACAGAAAGACAGATATACATAAAATTTTTATATAAATTATAACTTGTGCTATTCTCCTGTATAAGCTATATTATTGTAAAGTTTCATAAGAATCCATTCAGTAGTATTTATACAGTATTTCAGTAGTATTAGTAACAAATATCCATCCATACATACAAACATTCATGTTTATTATATTACTAAGGATGTTGTTATTTGAGGTGTTGAAATAAAATATATCACATCAAATTTTTTCAAGAAATTAGAAAATATTACCTATGTCTATGATTTACAATTTAGAGATGAACAAAGTTTACTTGATTATAGGTCTTGGTAACACTGTTTTGAAACAGATTTATATATGCAGTATGAAATTTACAAAAACAAAATGTGATTAATGGGCTATGTTCCCACATTTACAATGCTCCTTAAACTATTTCTTTCTTCCAGATTGCAAAGCTTTCTTTCAGACTGTATTTTTTTCTATCTTTTGATTACTTCTGGTTTTCACTGCTTGATCTTGATGGTCGTTGACAGTGATTATGCACCGTATTGTAGCTATTATGTACATACAGATATCACATATGAAATTCCTGAAAGAGCATACATTTTTTAGGAGGGGTCATCTGTCTCCTGAGGTAGGAAGGTGCCGGTGTCGAGATAACTTCCCTCTTAACCCGGGCTTCTCAGGAGCAATTAAAGGACTCCCGGTAATGTGGCATCATCATAATGACGCGACACTGTTTGGATGTATTTTGAGTGTAATCATGAAAATAACACACAGGATGAGTCCTTGTGGCTTCCACGAAATAAATTGGTCGATTATCTACAGTCGCTGCCTCTACTGAGGCAGAGAGGGCTGTGAGGTAGCGCCGGTTCCGTCGCACGGTGGGTCGAAACTGCTATATGAGGGACATAGGATTTTTTGTTACTAATTCAAATATAAAAAAATGTTCCTTTTTGACAGGTCTTGCTTTTAAACTACTTTATCCTTATTTTTGACTTGTTTGCTATATAAAAATAACTATAATAACTCTCTGCCATTAGCGCGCACCCAAAGTTACCGATTCAAGGGTTATAAGATTATAACTAATCATAATAATCCAAAAATTTTAGCATTTTCTGTTTCATTCTATACAATAAAAACTGAAAATATTTTTTGCCGGAAACTCATCTGCACAAGTTTTCGCCTGTTCTACGACTGTGGTACCTAATGTTTTCTCCTGGCAGTGCAAGGTCGTCTGCATACACAATCATATTATGTCGAACGTTTAACAGCACTGCATCTCTAGCATTTCTATTTTCCTAATAACATGCTCAGAGAAGCATGCAAACACAATTATCGGAAACTACCAGTGTGGGTTCCGGCGCAACCATAGCATAATAGATCTATTAATATTACTTAAACTATATAGCTTATGGAGAAGAGGAGGGAATTGGCGGACGGAATGAACGCTCTTTTCGTTGACTTTGCTAAAGCTTACAACAGTATAGACAAAAAGTCACTCTTCTCTATACTCAGAAACTTTAAAGTCCCTGAGAAAGTCATCATGCTTGCACGGACGAATTTGATGTCATCTCTGGCCTGAAGCAGGGAGATGTGTTGTCACCCATGCTGTTTAACCTAGCATTCGAGCATGTTATAAGGAAAACAAAAAATCGTATGTCCCACTTATTGCAGTTTCGACCCACGGTGCGTCGCCATGGTGAAGGCTTGCTGCTCTTGCCGGTGGAGCTCCTGCGGCGGCGGCGGTGACATGCAAGTACGGCGCGGACATTTTTATGTATAACGGTGAGTCAAGGTCACACTACATACTGCTTTTCGGTTTAGAAATCGCGCGTCTGACGAAAAAATAAATACACGTGACATTTTACTACACCCCTCTACCCCTTTGTGATATTTCGTGATTTTTGTCAAACCCCCTCCGGACGGCCCCTAGCACACCGATATTTAGGCACTCAAATTACACCAATTGGTGTAATTCTATAGATTGCTTTCTCTTTCCGTATCATACGTTCTGTCATCAGACTGTCGTTCTCCATGGTTATAACTCCTCATCAATACAAATTCCCATTGGCGTTCCCCAAGGGTCCTTATTGGGGCATTACTCTTTGTAAAATTTATCAATAATAGCAGTTCAAGTTTTAAAGTCTCTTAAATAATTCTTTATGCTCATAATATGAAAATTTTGTGGTCTATTTCGAACCCTACATATTGTGCAATTCTTCAAGAAGATTTAAATAATCTGGAATCATATTGTATTATAAACAAACTTGAATTGAACATAGATAAATGCTTCATTCGTTCGTACATGCGTAAAGCCGAGCCAATAATTTATGGCTGTAAGCTACTTAACTCGCTCATTAGTAGGACTAATACGATTAGAGATTTGGGTGTTATTTTCAACTCAAATTGCTTTTCGATGCCCATATTGCGGATATTATCACGAAAGTTAATAAATCACTTAATTTATAGATTTATGGATTGCAACCATTTTCAAAAACAAAAACATTTAAAATTCTATACTAAACCTTTGTCCACAGATATTTGTAATATGCCTCTCGGAACTCAAAATATAATGTATACCTACATTGACAGAATTTAGCGGATTCAAAAACAATTTTTGTGCTTTTAGGGTTCCGTACTCAAATGGAATTCGATGGCCGTCTGTCTGATTATGTATTTCTGTTGCCGCTATATCAACAAATACAAAAAAATAGAATAAATAAATATTTAAGTGCGGCTCCCATACAATACAACAGACACGATGTTTTTTGCCGTTTTTATAGATAATGGTACGAAACGCTTCGTACGCGAGTCTGACCTTACTGTTGAATAACATTACCCAGTGTCGTATTAATGAAAAAAACAATTAGATTTAAATACACGTGGACAAACAATCCGTTTTGTTCAGCAACTGCCCCACAGAATCGTCATTATTAAAATAAATGAGATACGATTAGCAATAAAACTACGAATAAAATGATGAATTATTTATTAAACTTTTAAAAAATAATTAAAGTAATTAATTTTTATTTGCTGTGCGAACGTACACACAACAAATCAACCCTACCAACATCATAAGTTTTATTCAGCGAAAACACTATCAGTTAGACGTCGTATCTCCTTATAGGGCTTGTATCTATCTTAAAATTGTTTATTTTAATGTAATTTCTAATGTAATCCCGATCAGCGTCTGTTAATAATGCCCAACTTTCGAGTTCAACTAATATTTCTAAATTCATACAACTTTGAATAATTCTTTCTACAGATATAATAGTCAAAAAATCAGATTGCATTATACGAAATTCTTTTAAATGTATTAAGGGGTTTTTGTCTAATATTTGAAGCATGAAATCGTCTGTAAACTGTACAGCAGTACCAATATGAATAAATTCTACGTTTAAGCAATTTGTTAATAAAAACAACAATTGTTCATTTGTACAGGTACTTACACACGTAAGCCTTTTCAGATTCCTGAATGGCAATATTTCTAATTTTTTTGTATACAAAGATGTGTGCTGAATCAAAGTACAATTATATAGTGTTAAACTTTCAAGCAATGGACACATTTGACTTATATACATTAAAGCGTTCAAATCAATTTGATCAACGTGTTCGAGGTGTAAATTTATAATGTTACATCCTTTTACTTGAAGAACCTGTTTTATTTGATCTGCAAAAAAATCACAAGACAATAGTTTAAGGTCACATAAATGTTCTAAGCTAATTAAAACCATAAGATCACTTTGTAACGTATTATGAAAGACGGTCATGCTCCGTATTTCTGGGCACATTTTAATAGCCAATTGTAAATGGTTGTCGGTAGAGTAACGGCTAACGTATGTTTTTAATTTAAGCTGTTTCAAGCTAATATCTGACTTATAAATATATTCTAAAACTCTACCAATTTCGTCACATCTACCGATGTCTTCCAAATTGTCGCAATTTATGAGTAAATTTGTGAAGCCTACCCAATTTACAGACGTCCTATAGAGTTGAATACTTTTTAGAAGCTTCAATTTACAAATTATATCTATGCTTTCATTTGATATGCACTTGGAGGAGGATACATCAAGTTTTTCTATTTTAGAGCAATTTTGTACTATGCAAATTAAAATATTGTCAGTGCAATCGTAGTTTATAAAAAGATATTTAAGAAAGTGCAACTCTTTTAACGAATGAATAATAGCACCTTCCATATCTGCAGTCTTCCATCCTCCTGAAAGTGAACCTAAATTTAAATACACCAGTCCTTTCAACATGTGTAGCTTGGTATAAAAAACTGAGCGAATCATTTTAGGAATTTTGTCAATACTTAAATAAGTTAAATTTTTAGTAAATAACACTTCTGCCATTTTTACTATTACGTTCATTTGTGTAACAAATTTTCCCATAGAAACTCTGAACCCAAGTGAATTTTTAGTTCTTTCTATTAATTCAGACAAAGCCCTTATTGTCTCTATTGCTAATAAATCGTAAAGCATCCATGGTACATTAATATCTAAATATGAACGAATAGATTCAATACTGCGTGCCAGGTCAACTTGCGCCTTGCTGATATTTTCATGTCCTAGTATTGCTGCTGGTATCATCTGTAATTCTGCTATTTGCGCAATCCAATCTCCAAGCCTGTTTAGGGCCAAGCCCTCTAATGTCTTTGGTTGCTTGTATCTTGACATGGTTAAGTAGGCTGTGAACAAATGAATTTCTCATTTTGACTGGTAAATACATTCATTTTCACAAATCGAGCTTTTGGAAACAGACCGTTACCTTTTTGAACATCTTTATAAAAACATATTATTTCTTGCCTCCTCTTACGTAAACAAAACAACATTTAGTGGTTAGTATTAGCTAACTTCGCCTATCTTGTCAGGGATTAAAGACTTGACTTTGTACGCTGTAATCTTTATATATTATATTTGTAATAACTCTGTTTTAATTAATTCAACGCGAAATAGATTAAGATATATAAAATATTACAAGCAATAATACGCACTTTGTAATAACATCCAAGAAGAGTGATTGAAATAAAATACTATTTTTAGATGTTTTACATTAGTCATCTATATACCTACCTACCAATCTTTATGTATCAGCAAATTCGTTAGCACAGTAATATAATCATAAAAATAATAATATAAAACGGAATAGGGTAATATTTTTTGCCCAATTAAAAGTATTTTTCGACACCGTTGACATGGACATTGAGCGTTCAAAGATCTATTTTTACTAAACTACTACATTCTTACAACGAGGATTCGAGCGCGTTTATACAGACATAATAGCGTGTAACTGGGGTGTCATGTGATAGGTTATTATTACCTTTGAAATTGCAAATTAATATTGGCCATTTCAAACAGCTTTAAAAAAAGTTTTGATTGGCTGTGAATTCTAAATTCAAATTAATTTTGTTTTAAAAACATGAAATTCTTTTTACCAAGTCAAAAGACTGAATTTATTGATTAGCTTTGTATTTTCATTACATTTGAATTTTGAACATTTTTTGTTATAATGGATAGTACTGTTACGTGTTAGGGTTCGGGGGATTTGGAAAGAAAGACCTGCTGACTCTTTTGAAGAATTTATTCACTAGAAATTTAAATTGTTTATAGTGCTAATCTTTGCACTTAAGATTGAACATTAAAATATGTAATGTTAAGAAAATAATGTGGAAGAATGCGTTAAGATTTTCGTCGGTGTGGTAATCAGCCGTTTAGCTCAGTGGCTAGAGCGTCAGGCCGCGAATGCCGAAGACGTGGGTTCGATTCCCACAGCGGCGACAATCTTTTCGCACTTTTTCTACATATTTTAATGTTCAATCTTAAGTGCAAAGATTAGCACTATAAACAATTTAAATTTCTAAAAAAGCAATGGCGACATCTCTCGTTCGAATTATCGTTGTAAAACGATATTGGAAATTGTTTGTATGCTGGAAAGGATATAACAATAGATGGCGCCAAGCATTGCTTCAAATGCTAAGAAAATAATGTGGAAGAATGCGTTAAGATTTTCGTCGGTGTGGTAATCAGCCGTTTTGGCTCAGTGGCTAGAGCGTCAGGCCGCGAATGCCGAAGACGTGGGTTCGATTCCCACAGCGGCGACAATCTTTTCGCACTTTTTCTACATATTTTAATGTTCAATCTTAAGTGCAAAGATTAGCACTATAAACAATTTAAATTTCTAAAAAAGCAATGGCGACATCTCTCGTTCGAATTATCGTTGTAAAACGATATTGGAAATTGTTTGTATGCTGGAAAGGATATAACAATAGATGGCGCCAAGCATTGCTTCAAATGCTAAGAAAATAATGTGGAAGAATGCGTTAAGATTTTCGTCGGTGTGGTAATCAGCCGTTTAGCTCAGTGGCTAGAGCGTCAGGCCGCGAATGCCGAAGACGTGGGTTCGATTCCCACAGCGGCGACAATCTTTTCGCACTTTTTGTACATATTTTAATTTATTCACTAGCTTTGTGTTGGACATAGTGTACAACACAAAGCACTAGGTCCAAACACTAAGCACTAACGATGTCCTAGGTTGTAGCCAAGTCGTAGGTTTCGTTGGTATCACTCTTGATCAATTGTTTTCACTTCGAAGTCGCCTCGAAGGTAGCTCAAATTGAACTGAACTCGCTCGCCTCCCTGCGGCTTTTTATATGGGCCGAGACGAGTCCCAGACTAATCCAGAAAGTTCCTTCCTGGAACGTACCCGACACGCGCGAACATGATCTGGAAAGTTCATGAATGCACCTGGTTTTCGAGACTATAGTTCCACAGTAGTTCCTCTAACGCCATCTAGTATTGAGTAGGGGGTTTTATGTTGTCTTTGTTCGTTGAGTGGTTTTACTGCTTGACGCTAGATGGCGCTAGTTTCTTGTGTGTTCGTAACTACTCCCCTCTTAGAGATGCTCGTCCCGAGCATCGTTGTTGCTGCCATGGTAACGCGCCAGACGGTCTATGTGTAACACTTTGAATGTCCCTCTTGGTTGCTAAGTTGCTAATCCTATAAGTCACATCATTCAGTCGGGTAACCACTTTGTATGGACCGTCCCACTTGGTCTGCAACTTTGGGGATTTCCTTTTCCGGCGAGTTGGGTTATGCAGCCACACCAGTGACCCTTCCTCGAAGCCGTTCAAGTTCGATTTCCGGTCGTATCTGGTTTTCATGTTCTCACTTGACTGTAACCCATTTACCCGAACCAAGGCGTGTACATAGCGCATTTTTTCCCTTAAATTGCAGATATAGTCTTGTACGGTCTCTGGTCCCTCCGGTGACCCTCCTGTCAATAGGTCTACCGGTATTCGAAACGCTGTAAAAACTTCCTAGCTTTCATGCCCTGCGAATAAGTCAGATTACTCTTGCAGTCATCGAGTAGCTCAGTCATTAATCCGTAGTTGTTGCTGTTTGCCAAGTCTGCGCCTGTCACCGAACTACACTTTTTCATCCAGACAACTTCCTCGCACTTTCCAATGACGTCACCTTTGTTCAATCAGACCTCGCGATCACCAAGATTCAAAACTTTGACCACAGCGTTACTGCTTCCACTAACAAGGGTTCTCGCCGTCATCAGTTTTTGCGCCGATGTCTTGGTAGGTGTGTCTTCGATCAACACGCATCTGTTTGACATCTTCTTACCAGCTGGCGGCAGTTTCACCAGCACCTGAGCTTCCGCTCGTCCAGGTATAATGACTTTCTTAACAAGTGCGACTTTCCCGCAGGTGCCTCCAAATATGAAGATTTCTTCTTCACCACACTTGAAAATTCCGTCAGCGACATTAATTCTGCCATTGTGTTTCTTCATGAAATCCAAACCCAAGATGCAATCATCCATAATCGCAGCCACAATAACGTTATGAGGGTATGAGGACCCCCCTATATACATCATAACTGACGTTTCTCCCAGGACGGCTGACCGGAGGCAGTAAGAAGCCGGCAGCTTTAATTCTCCTCTTGTGTCCCCTTGCGGATTTTACCAGATTCACTATTGTTGTAGAGGCTCCTGTGTCTAGAGTCATTTTACAATCCGCCCTGTTAATAGTCCACTGAATCACAAGACTATTTCCGCTGCATGCCTGGGAGATAACAGTTATCGGGGCTTCCTCCACGTCAGCCAGTATTCGCCCCTTAGTCCTGGCTTTTATTTGTTTCCCTGATACCACGCAAGGGACGAAACCGCCGTTTGTCCTGGCTTTTATTTGTTTCCCTGATACCACGCAAGGGACGAAACCTCTCGCTTCTTCAACTCCTCTATTTGTTCTTCGATCCTTTTCATCCTTGCCATCTGGGTCTCCTTTTGCGGGCAGTTGAGGTGAAGATGGCCCATCTCGCCACACTTGTAGCACATGGTTCCAGTTTGAACAGTGAACAAGACTGTTGTTCATTGTTGCTTACTATTGTTTCAAATATTTTACTGGTACGTTTTATTTATTTTTTTGGGCTGGATGACCCACTGTTAGCCTTAGGGGCCTTTACAGATCCGACGGACTTGAGGTGGCCTGGCGCACGCGGCGCCTACCCTGAACCTCGGCGTATTATTGGTGACTAAGCTCGAGGGCTCCCGAAGGAGCCTCGGCTCGGGCCGTCACGCTGTTATTAACGTTACCGGTTTGGGAGGCCGCCAAGCTCGTAGGGCGCTTTGGCGTAAAGTAACGCTTTACGCCAAAGCGCCCTAAGATTGGCGCCACTTCGTAAAGTGTTGGCGCTGGGAGAAGAAGTGGCGGAAACTTCAGCAACGCTTCCATCATTAACAGGGGATAACCTGCCAGGTACGTGGCGGAACCTTATATATATTTTTCGCACTCGCCAGCGAGTTCGGTGTGTTCTGGTGTGTTTACGTACTTTTTAATTCGGTCGATGGCGATTGTCGTCTCATCGTCAGGGTAATCGAGGACGTGTCGCGGTCTACGCCAGCTGCGGCAGAACGTACCTGGTGGTAGGGGCCTGTAAGTGACGGCACTTACGATTAACGGATTGGGGTGCGCGGCGGTGGATTCAAAGTATCAACGCGACGGCGACTTCAGGAAATGAGCGATGCTGGGCAACTCTAGATCGACATGTAGGTCGATGTAGCGCACGAAACAGGGTGCTCCCATAGCTCTGCGCAAGAATCGATTCTGAATGACCTGAAGCCGGTGTATTTGCTTCGGAGCAAAATATGCGAAAACCGGACTTGCGTACATCATGATAGGGCGAACTACTGCCTTTGTATTTGTATTGTATAAAGTCACCTTATTCCGAAGGGACATTTTTGACGTTTTGTTAAGGAACGGATAGAGGCGACAGAGTACAATGGCCGCCCAGTCACGTGCTGGCTGAATTTGAGCTTAAGTCAAGGATGACACCTAAATATATGACTTTATTGACCCACGGAACCGGAATATCCATGAGTTTAACGGGTGGGATTTTACTTTTGCAGTCCAAGATCTACTCTGTAGAAGGTTGACCCGTGTTCATGTCCTGAGACGAATACAGTTTGTTATGATCTTATATTTGCCTCGTTTTATTGTACTTAAATTACAAAAAAATATCAGGCTTATGTCCCTTATTTCTACTGGTGACCGGGGTAGTGTACAGGTGGGAGAGAGGGTTGTAGTGGGGGAAGTCAACTGACAGTCAGTGTGTACGGAGTGGTCGTACAGTGTTCTGGATAGTTACCTAGACAGCCGAATAGTGTGAATAGTGATATTATGTGTTCCGATTGACGTCCGAAGTCCATTATGAGACAGTACATCGTCTGATTTCCGCTGCAGGTCGCAAAATTTTTCTACTTCCGTTTCCTAAACCGTGCCTACAGCGCCCTCTATACTCATTTCTGGAACTAACTCACAAGCAAAGACA